TCTACTACTACTACTACTACTACTACTACTACTATTGCTACTGCTACTGCTTGTGCTACTTCTACTACTACTACTACTACTACTACTGCTACTACTGCTACTACTGCTACTACTGCTACTGCTACTTCTGCTACCGCTACCGCTACCGCTACCGCTACCGCTACCGCTACCGCTCCTGCTCCTGCTACTGCTACTGCTCCTGCTCCTGCTCCTGCTCCTGCTACTGCTACTGCTACTGCTACTGCTACTGCTACTACTAATGCTGCTGCTGCTGCCGCTGCCTACTGCCTACTGCCTACTGCCGACTGCCGACTGCCGACTGCCGACTGCCGACTGCCGACTGCCTACTGCCTGTATACTGCCGACTGCCTACTGCCTACTGCTTGCGATTTGTTTACTGCTTTGCTTGCTGCTTGCTGCTTCGGGCTTCCTGCTTAGTGCTGACTGCTTACTGCTGACTGCTACCGCTCGTAATTCTGCTCCTCCTACTCTGCTAGTCTGCTGCTCTGCCAAACTGCTGCGTCCCGCTGCTCTGCTACTCTGCTACTCTGCTACTCTGCTGCTGCGGCTGCTACTACTGAACTACTGCTTCGGCTCCTGCTCCCGCTCCTACTCCTGCTGCAGCTGTTGGTGCTGCAGCTGCTGCCGATGCTGCTGCTATTGCTGCTGATTCTACTCCCGACTACGACATGACGACATTACGACGATGTGTCACGGCGACGACGACGGCGACGGCAACGACATCGGCACACATCGGGGACATTAAGAGACTGGCACGCGCTGTGACTAGCTGTGGCAAACATCCACTTACGAGAAGCAAATGTGTGGAAACACACGTGCTGCATTGTGCTGCCAAAGCCGCGTCTAGACGCGCCAAGACAAGACCGATAACTTCAGTTGCACAGGCAGGGGTAAGCAGCGAACTGGCAGCTTCAACCGAGCTCCAGACGGCAGCTGGGGAAATGTGTGCCATACCCAGGACGGGTTTCCATTCCTGTGCAATGGGCACAACGACGCGAAGGGGCTTGCCATGTGAACATGGCGGAGCTACGCCGTACAGGCTCAGGCACTGGCAAAGTCACTGTTCCAGGTCTCCATGAGCGCGGCAGTCGCTTCTGAGCCTGAAGCCGGTTCACTGATCCACCGCAGCCATGACTAATCGTGATGTCAGCTCCGTCCAAGAGAACAATACTCTATGCCTCAAGCCCATGTCACTTGCCGAAGGATGCAGATCTAACAGGGCCTGGATCTGAATCTTGGGAGGCTCCGGCATCGCCTCCCAGGATGCGGAAGGGACATTCGATGTGACACTAAAAGTTCATCTTCGGACTTGTCGGGCGCTGCTAGCAGGACATGTTTCGCAGTCTGCAACTTGCACACCTCTCGCAATCCACGAAGGACATGTCTGTTCAACTGCAACACCAGAAGTATGATGAGATGAAGGGATCCGAACGTAGCGGCTGCAAGCCGCTGCTGTCATGACAATGGTGCTTGGCCATGCCGTGTCGATAGAAACTCCAACGAGTTCTCAATCCCGATGGTGCGGCAAAGTCTGCTTAAAGGGGTTTGAACAAGTGGTAGAACATGCTGTTTGAACAGTTTTCCATGAATGCAACAAGTCATTCTCTAGTCTGCTTTGCAGGTACAGTTACCCACAAAGCCCAAATTGCTAAGACAAGTCCCGTCGGAAATGAACTGTTGTTCGATGGTGCAAGAAACACAATCGGTAAGCCCAGCCTTCCACATCGTAAAAGGCAGCACTGCTGGATCATGCTTTGTTTCTTCAGAAACTCTGTCACCTCCCGGTGCAGCGAGTAGATGCTTCCAAAACTCAAGAACCAGACAGCGTAACAATGCTGGTTGCCGTATCAAGTGCTTGACACGGCACAAGAAACACAACACGACGCTCAGCGGCCTTCTTTCTTGCGAATCTTTAAGAATGAGAGATACTCAGTGATGTACTCTTTTGGTACCTGCCAGCGAATTTCTGAAGCCGCCCATGTTCCCATGACTGGACGCCAGCACTTCCGTGCTCGTGTTGTCTGCAACATGCCTTGCCCTTTGTTGCCGGACGACGCCAGATCTAAGGCCGAGGCATAGAGCTTTGGATCAGATGTGAGATGCAGCCTAGAGATGTTGCCGGGAACCAGCACACCGCAGTCCTCGCAGGAGATGTGCGTAGCAGGGGCGATAGTCCTCCCCGCCCTCCTGCTAAGCTTCTCACCTTGAGAGGATACTCATCCAGGATGTTGCACACAAGGGATGGTGTTCTGGGCACCACGAAGGCGGTGTGCATTTCATCCCGCACGGTGTGACAGTTTTACTCGCGATGCTGCCCTGAGAGATGTTGCAGCAGTCGTCTAGGCCGAGGCCAGCACCCATAGGGGCCCAGCCCAGCCGTGGCATTGTCCCAAAGGACACGTTGCGAGGGGATCTTGCTCGGCTGTCCTGCGTTGCTCACGGCCTGAGACAGAGAAACTTTCAAACTCAAATCTCGGCTTTTCATGTCCAGACCGTTGTAGATGAGCCGTGCACAAAAATGGCCGGACCCCGAGCCCACACCAAGACCTGCAGAAAAAAACGGAGATGTGAGCGAGCTTTTTGGAGCCAGAGTCTCCGGCCTGGTGGTCCATGTACACGGGAATGGACTTGAAGGCATGCAGTCCATTCGTGCGCTGCCGGACCCACAGCACCTCCGAGGTGTCAACAACATGACTCTCCACCTCGACATGCAGTGACCACTTCAAGCTGCCTTCTTGATGAGCTGGTAGGTCGACGTTGACGTGTTGTAGCCTCACATGTTCGATACGCGCACTTTGTCCCGTCATGCTTCTACTCCATGGCGAAGCTTCTTTTGCCCATCACCGTGACTCCAAGCCTACCGCTGGGGTTGGGGTTGGATGCAGGGTGCTCAGACGGCAAAACCAGGAGTGATGCCGTGATGCCACAAGGGCTGCCTCCAGTTGTCCACCTTCCGGAAAGACAAGTCTCAATCATTCAATCTGTCTCGTCCACATAACGGCAGATCTCGCACATGGGCTATTGCTTACGCCGCCTTCAGCGGATCTGAATAGTTGAGACCTCGGGCATCGGCACTGCTCACGCGAACAGCCACACAAAGTGATGCCATCATGTAGCCAACAACAGTACACCTACAAAAATACAAAACACAGCGAAATACCTGCATACTCTCGCATCGAATCTAAGCGTGCACACAAAAAACGTCAGCGAAGCGTTCACTAGGCCGCTAGATCGCTAGATTGCATAGCTTCATGCTGCAACGACGTCGTGCCAGGACTGAGAGATCCCGGGACCCCGGCGACCACGAGCATTCTGCTCCGAGCCGAAGAGAATCGCTGGCAAGCCCTCCATTCCCATCATCTTGGTGGTCGCTTCTCTGAAAGATGTCCGCCACAGCAGTACATCATGTCTCAACTAGCTTGTTGCCAAGCATCAACAGCGTCATCGAAAACGGCATGCACATGCGACGCAAAACTCAGCTGAGAACAGCCAGCAAAGCGTTGTGGTACAGCCTTAGCATGCACTGACTGTGTATGTGAGGGAGGATATTCGTGTTTGCGATGCTGATGACCGTGCTACTGGTACTACTGTCTTATCTGTCTTCTTGCAACGTCTCCAGGCCCCCTGCGCCACCATGGTTGCCTCGGCCACGCCGCCACCCTCGCCGATCCGGTACAAAAAGCGAGGCCTCAAGCACAAACGATATGGGCAAGTGGAGAGGCGATCATGGATGTGCAACAAGGGCGAAGGCTTCTCAGCTCGGGCCTCCCTCTCCCAGGCTGATTGAGGGCTTTGAAGGCATGAAAGGATTCTTGATGTTACGAGGGACGGTCTCACTGCAAACATTCCCGAGGCTTACTTTGTAGATAGTTATATCGGATGGCTTAGGGAGGGTGTTGAGCTGCGGCGATACTCCCGTGCCCAAAAAAATAGCACAGCTGCGCAATGCCGACATCAGCAGCAAGGAGGATGGCCACACGGTCGACCATAATTCATGTGACTGCTGGCGCGATGGATCCAGTCCGAGAGCCGAGGTAGGGACAGGTCATTGTTGTCCAGGAAGTTCAGCATCAGTCGGCCCTGCAGAGAAAACTCCCTGCTTTGCACCATAAGCTTTTTTGGACAATGCATGCCGCAGCAACATAAGTTGCATGAGCGACAAGCAAGCTGCTAGGGCTATCATTGCTTCAGTTTCTTGTTGCCAGAAAGCGTGATTTCACCTCTTGTTGACGGCTTTCACCATGATCTGAGGACTTCTCATTCGGTTGTTACTCTTAAGGTGAACACGGGGATAACATGCTGTGTCTTCGCCGATATCCGAACTCCTCCATACAATGAGAAGTTGAAATTCAACTTGCACACTGTCTCTTGCAGCTACTGACAACTGTCAGTTTGAAGAAGATCGTGTCGCTTGCGTAGCTAGAAAGCTTGCCTTGTCATCTCATCTATTCAGATGGTCACCGAGTACTACGGTCAAGAGTATTACGAATTCCCCAAATGGTGTGGCAAGACATGGGGGTTCCTACATTTCTGGCGGCTCCGCGGTGTACAGCCCTGTGCTTTCCACAGTACTGCTTGTGCCGAATTCATTATCAAATCCAGAGCTTTGGTGCTTCCGATCTTGGTACATCCAACTCCCGCTGCTGGTGCATTCTAAACGTTGGCGTGTCCATAGGGGTCGAAATCGTGCTCCCCCCACATTCCCGTGCTCGACGTCCCTGATGCCGCTCAAGCCCAAATTTCCACACCAGTCGGCTGCTGGTGGCCTCTTGTTTTGTTCCGGCATCTCACCTTTCGAAGGCATCGTCTTGTCGCCACAGTGCGGCCCGTTTCCGCTTCCGGACAGCACTTCCGACACGGTGTCGCGCATAAAAAGGCGACGCGTGCTGCCGCCTCAAAAACCCGTGCTTCGGCAACCTGTCCCGTGCGATTCCGCCTCCCGAAGTCCCGCTCCCGCAAGAGTGCCGATCGTGCTTTCGCTGCATTGTGGTACACAGCTCGTGCACAGCTTTGGCCTCAGGCGTGCATACATGTGTGTGTGTGTGTATATATATATATACACATATAAATACATATACATATGTACATACAGGCAAGTTCTTCTATAGCGTAGACTTCATGGATTGGAGTTGAGCGAAAAGCCGGCCTGGGCCTTGGGCGACTGCTTGACAATCCAATCGCCCAGAGCAGACATTGGCTTCTGCTTTGGTCCAGGAACAAAGATGTCCTTACAGCTAGAACTTCTTCAATGGTTGCACTCGGCAGTGAACCGAGCCCGTCCTTCAGCACGAAGTACAGAGGATAGTTGTAAACGGCACCGTAGTCCCCAGTAGCATAGGCAGAAACGTAAGCCATGTCCGTGTTCACCACCTGCAGCCGACGACCAAGACAAGACAACTTCGCTTGGCATGGGCCGACGGCCATTCGGTCGGGTTGCTGAACTTGATAACCACCTTCACTGCGACTGCACCTCACCCCCGAAAAGAATACCAGGACGAAGTACACGTCTGATCGTCGCGGCTACTGCATGGTCTACGAGTCTACCGATACCTCAGGCGTCGTCCTGGCCCTGGCATAGCCTGATCTTTGGCTGGAAACCTCGACCTCCTTCGACTAGCGGTCCGAACACTCGTCCAGTCGAGCATTAGTGGCTAGAAAAAAAGTCTTGAGTCTTGTACTGATTAAGTAATGTGCTTGGATAAACAATGGTGTAACCCGTGAACGCCTTTGGCTGACCACGTGTGAAACATTTAAAGACAAAGAGATGCGATGGATAGTGGAACCCTGCACACAGTCTGCAGAACTTAGCGTGGAACCATGACAAAGAGTTATGTCGACCATGGAACCAAACACAGCCAACGTCAGCAAAAATCCAGCCAATACCACAAGCCTCGTAGTACGCGGGAATGGGTGGACCAGTCTCCGGGATGTGGTTCAAGAAATTCCTGTCAAAGCCCCGTCTGCTGTCGGGACATAAGGACCAACGCTTCTCGAGCCGCCATGCCTTCTTAAGACCTTCATGGCAGGTGTCAACTGAAACAGACAGCCACAGACCATGCAACTCCTCATTTTTGGAGCGTCGGTCCTGTTGATGTGTCTTGCAGCATCCACGCGAATACCGTCGAACCCGTACTTGTCCACATGATCTCGCCTCGTCGCTCACAGGTGTTTAGGGTTGAAAAAGTGCCTACAGTACCGACTGAAGCTAGGGTTGCGTATTTTGTCTGTTGCACTGCACCGCTCTTGTAGGACTAGTACATGGCCGAGGGAAGCAGCTGATATGCTGCTGAGCTGCACCCACTGCATCAAGCCCTGCCACACGACGGGGTTCTCGTGATTGAAATCCGGCAGCCCATAGAGCTTGCAGTCTCGGCACCCACGCAGTCAGGCGCTTCTCACATCCGAAGGCATGTGCACCACGGAATGGCATGAAATTTCAAGGACAGTCGCTCCCTGCTTGTTGTTTGGCCCATGTCCGGCTGCTATCGGCCATGTGCCCCCCGCAACACTTGCTCGTCTACCGCATCAACTGTGACTCAGCCCCTGGCGCTCCAAGAAATAGGAGCCACGCTCGTAGTCGGAGTCGTGGATGAGGCCTCAGGCGAGTGAAATTGTGACAGACAGGGCAAGCCCACCAAACCAAAATCAGTTCACAGTATCGTCACACACCGGAAACAGGCTACCCTGCATGGACGGCAGCTGCTGAATCTTTAAGAACTCTGCTGCAGTTGTCCGAGTGATAGTGCTCAGGCTTGTCGAAGGGTTTCAGCAAGGACCTGAAGAATTGACGCGTCGTGGGCAGGCACTTAGACTTAGACAAGCCCTCTTCAGATTAGCAGGGAGGCCCACTCAAGCGAGTCTGAGCCTGATGCACATCTCGCGGATTGCTGGCATTGATCTTCTGGGACCCAGCGTGGTTCCTCGGCAACATGATCCCATTCCAGATCACTCAACAAGAGCACAAAGAAACACAAGGTCTGAATTCAAGGGCTGCCAAGACTCATGTTCACATCGACGATGACCTTCATCTTCCGCTCATGAAGCAGGATGACCATCTCTCGCACATCTTCCTGCGACAAAAGTTAGTGAGACCGTCACTTGCAGCTCTCTAATCGGGCTGCAAATGTCCTCGGTTCCGTAAGCAGGATTCACCTTCGTGAGATCTTTCGTCCAGTAGCCATGGTATCCATGCGGCATCTGACCACAAGGCGCCAGTCACAAGGACAGCACAAGGCGAGAATAGGACCTCCAGTTGAGCAGAGAAAGGCGCAGCCTGGTCTACGATCGGGGAAAGGACGATGCCGTCGACACCCAGCTCCTGTCCACTTTGCAATTCGATTTAGCAAGAATACAAGAGAAAGAGGTGAGACCACGCGACATGGTACATCGGTTCAACGCACCATCTTCTGTGCAGAGTGCTGTCCATCCACCTCAAGATAGCTCACTTTGTCCATGATGCCCGGGATGCTGCCACCGCAATACTCGTTCCTCAGCCCGCGCCAGCAGCAACTTCGCGCCAGGGATGTGACTGTAGCATTCCAGACAAACGAGGCAAGGGCAACTTCTCGCAGTGCTTCGGCTTCGTCGTAGCAAACCGATCGATAAGGATCTGATACATTGCCACCTGGACAAAACATAACTATCCATGTGGGAATGTAGCACCGCACTGTTCTGCACACACCTGCGGCCAAGCCCAAGAGCCAGTCGGGAGGTTGTTCCACTCCTGACTGCAGCGCTTCTCAGACAATGAGGGTTTCAATCAAAAGTCCTAGCTTCGTAGTCGGAGGTCTCGTGTTGTCTTAAGGGGAAAAAGGAAGAGAAGTGCCTGATGACTACTTCATCGAGTGCTTCCTGGTTGTCTTCTGTGCTTCGAGGAGTGCAGGCAGAAACACATTCAATACTTCGCTTCTTTCTTCTTACTCAGGCCGTTGGCCAAGAGCTCCATGTCGTTGGCGGGAGCCCGGTATGCATGGCCATGCACTGACCGTTTACTAAAGAAGCCTTTGCTGCACTCCCTCGCAGCATCATCCGGGCAGTGGCAGAAGCCAGACAGAAGCATGAACTGTCCTGCTGGGAGGTGTTGTCTGGCATGTCCCACCTCAACTGCCATCGTGGACTCGTGAGAATCAGCATATGCGATATGTTAATGAGGCTCTTTTGATGCCCGGGCAGTCAGTGAAAACTCGGCACAAGACGTCTCAAGATGCCGCGACTACCTGTTCCCCTGAGAGACTTGCACGCTGCGGGTAAGCGCTCCGAGACGGGAGGCTTCCTGGAAGAAGGATTTCAAGCTGGTGGCTTGGTCGGAATACAGTCAAAGGCCCTTCCGCATTCATCGGAGGCAAACTCACCTGTTGCGCAAGATTTTCGCACATCGAAAGACAGAAGGCTCTTGTGAACACGGACACGAGCACGCGAGCGTGTACTTGCGACCGCAGAAAGCAATGACAGCCCGCCCGAGGAGTCAGCCAACAGCACCAACTTACCGCAGGACCCCGCTCCTGGATGTCTGGCTCGTCTTTGTCCTGGCAAGGATGCAAATGAGCCTGAGTCATAAACAGATTACCCAAAGAACAGAAACCCCACGCCCCACGCACTATGGAAACCAACATCTTCGTCACCCGACATATGAACGAGCTCAGTGGAGTTTCCCTCTTCTGAACAGCAGGTCGAGCTCAACAACCCGCTTGCCTTGATGTAGGTCTGATTGAAGAGCTTCTTGTTACATGCGATCTCGTTGGTGCCGCAATACTTGCCGCACCTGGGACGCGTTTAAGCTCTACGGTTCTGAACAGCTACAGCTACAGCTGGAGACAATGTTTGCTTCTTGTCTCGATCCGAGAACCCAGCCATTGGCACTGGTTTCGATGCCCGTTGCAAGCATCTTGGCCAACATCGGACAGGAGTGGAGAAATGAAAAACCTTTACTTGGCCAAGCTTGGTCTGAATGCTGCCCTTCAAAAACCCTGCCTATCGGAAGCCACATAGTTTCACAACCAATCGCTGTCAAGAAGTGTGCGTACGACTCAGACTGTGTGTTTCAGACTTCTGGATTCTGGGTGCACCGGATTTCATTCCGCATGCACTCGGGGCCTATTGACAAGCGGGACGACACTTTGAGACTTGAGATCGCGGCTGGCATCTTCATGGCGGATGCAGCTGTCCACCTGCATGCTTGCATGGTTTTTCGAAAGGTCCAGCCTCGGTTCAGAGAAGGCAGACCAGCCTGCATGTGGTAGAACTGCCAAACGAGGACTGTGTGCCACTCCTCCCCCAAGAACACATCCGCACAACGCTGCTGAAACTGAGGATTCGGCAGCCGGAACGATAAAGCTGATACAGACACGGACGGACCGTCTTCACTTCTTCACTTCACTCCGCGGTTCAGGGAGCATGTCAAACTCCCCGGTTGTGAGGCTTTTGTGGGGGAGACCAAAGGCTGCGCCCATGAAGCTCGTAAAAAGACATGGGCGCAAAATCTCTCTTCTTCCACACAGACAAAGGAAGGGGCGCTCCCCTCCCCCGCACGCAAGCACGCACTGGCAGTCTCTGTCGCTTTGTGAAAACCAGCTGGATGCGGCAGGCGGACGGCAACTCTCAGAACCCCGATGCCCTGAACCTCAACAACATCCATCCCCCTGCCACGGCCTCATCTTTTGTCTCTCTCTCTTCTTCCACACAGTCAAGGAGAAAGCTTCTTCAGCACAGCTAAGGGAAGACGCACCGCCCTCCCCGCGCGCGAGCGCGCAGTGGTCACTGTGTCCGGTCTGAGCTGCTAGAACGATGAGGTCGGTGGTCCCCCACTCGCGAAACCCCATAGACTTCAGTGACCCTTTACACTATGGACCCCCGGCCTCGTCGATACTAAGGCTGTTGCTTGGTCTGGCCGTCACACAGCAGCTTATTGCCGCACAGACAACCGCAGATGCTCCGGCAATCTCCCCCCGAACAAAAACACAAACATACTGACTACAATGCTGCACCACTATCCTTGACTGCTCGGGCACTGCACCAGGGATCGCAGCTCTCCCAAGGAGAAAGCTCTCTCTCTCCCTCTCTCTCTCTCTCTCTCTTTGCTTTGCTTTGCTTTGCTTTGGCTCTCTCTCTCTTCTGTGTCGATTCCTCGTTGCTGCTGCACTTCCCTGGGAAGCACATTTTCATGTTCCTCGGCGGTGCAGCTGATGCTCGGCAACACACTGATAATGGCCTACTGCCGTGACCTCAAGCCTCAACCTTTCTTGGAACCTGGCGGAGGCTTGCCAGTCCACGAACAGGAGTGCAGCACGTTGTAACCTCAGCATTGATCATGGCTAGTCCTACAGGCCGCTGCAGAGTGGCAGCCTTATGTTTGTGGTTCGCCCGCTGACGCAACATAACTGCGCAGCGCACCTGTAGATTCCCAGCCAATGTTGTGCAGCATGCCGCCGCCCACCTCTGTCGAATTCTGCATCCTGTCACGTGACAATGACAGCCGGAACCTAAACCTTGGAGCCCTGCACAAGAGTTCCACTTCTTGTCCAAGAACCTCGGCTGAGACGTCACCAAGCCGCCCAGCCAAGTGGTATTTTGCAAACCGAGAAGCTGCAGCTTCATCTTGAACTTTTTGTTCTTGCAGTACTGGGTCAGGAAAGACCTGACAGGATGGCGGCAGCTGGTTCGCACTCTGTGTCAGTTCGCCGAGGTCGTGGCTGCTCCGGCATGGCGAAGTGATGCTGCTCGTCTGCCAGAACCTTCAAGCGGCCAAGTTCGGCTGGAAGTTCCTTCTGCCGGATACTGTATGACTGTATGCAATAGAGTTGAATCACATGACAATGTGTGTGCCTGTATGCAATGGAGTTGACAAGACAGTGTGCCAAGATGTGCCAAGTGCGGACGCTGGGACTGGCCACCCAGCAAGGGCACATTTTGCCTGCAGGATGTGAGCCAAGCGTTGAGACGAAGGAGTGACCACCATGACACCTGGGGCAAACACCCAAACACCCACGCTCTGTCTGGGAGCGGTGCTTAGGCTTGCCTGCATTCATGAACCGCGAGTCGCCATCGCCTGAAGGAAGGGAAACCGAACCCACATGACTGCCGCAACTAGTAGATGCATAATCTGCCGGAACTTGATGAAGGCTCTTAGTGAGGAGTTTCATGGGCGAGAGATCATACACTGAATGCCAAACTTCATCAGACCACTGACCACAGTTTCATGTGAAGTTGTCAAGCCGGGGGCCCTGCGCACTGCGCAGATCGGAGCGCTGCATTCCGAGAAAATTTTCCCGGGACCTGTGTGCGGGCACGTGCCACAACGAGTCTCCAGTCTAGAGTCTACATTGTCTACATTTCTTACATATGCCTTATGACGAATCAAACTACAGGATCTGAATGCACGCATCCCACATGGAACCATAATCGAGACAATCATTGCGCGTTGACTCACTTCGAGAATCCAATGTCGCTGTCAACATCAGCCAGCCATCCCTCCATGGAGAGCAAGTACAGGGCCAGAACACAGGCACGGCATCAGGAGGCAGATGGCATGATGAGGCGGCAGCTTTCTGCGTCGACATCGAACACCATGTCTGTGTCCATCAACGCCACCTGAGAGTACTCCGTCATTCGCCAAACCTCGGTCAGTCTGTGTGGAATTTTAGCAGAGCTCTACCATCCATACCGTCTGAATACAGTGTAATCATGTCTAAACACAACGCTTGAACAATCTCCTGCTTCGTAAGGATACGAAGCAGATCTAGGCTGTGGGCGGCAAAGGTGACACGAGAAGATGAGGACCGCGCTGCGAACTTGTTCATGACGCCGCTCCACCGCTGGTGAATTACCTAGTCGAAGCCCAGCGTAGCGCAAAGCTTGTCGAACTGGCTAGGCTTGGAGCTTCTGCACACAGGTCACCCTCCTCTGCGGCCACAGCACGGGGTCCGAATCCATCACCGCAGGCATGGGGATGGGGTCCGTGTAATAAATCTTGACCTTAGCTGCACTGCCCTCAAAGGTCCCCGACTTGCCTCTTTGCCAAAGCTCCCTGAAAGGCACCCGGACCCCATCCCGCACCAGGATCTCCAGATGCTGCTTTGGAGTCTTGTCCTCGGACATCGTCCACTCCCAGAGTGCAAGTTCAGCCGAGAGGTGTGCAGAGACTTGGCAGGGGACGACCATGTTCTTGGGCACGATCGCCAGGATGTCCTGGCAAGTCATCAGTCTATTTCTCTGTCCGTAACTGGAGCTACATCCTTCTGAGGGACCCCATGGGCCTGGTTTGCCCCAGCTGCTCTCATCGACTTCACAAGAACTCGCACCTTGGTCGCTGCAGCTAAAGGCGCTGAAAGGCAAAAAAAAGCTGAGAACAGGTTCTTCCGGCTTTACCGTCTCGGTCGCGCTGCTGAGATCAGGTTCTCAGAGCTGTTCCCGTAGAAGAGGAAAGCGAACGCCTGGGAAGGGGTGAGCGTGAGAACTGATGCTCTACTGAGCCTGAACAGGCCTGTTTCGGCCTCCCTCACTTCTAGTCCAATCCATGACTATAGCTTGTGTTGGTAGCGGCGACCTCGAAACCTTGCAGGTACCCTTCATTGCAGGAGCCTCCGGCATACAGCTACCCTAACCTGATGCACTCGATCGACTTCGACTGTATCAGGGCACCTCAGTCGATTTGTCGCAGAGGTCTCCACCTCAGCCAAAGGACATTTCAGGGGTCTGCGATTCATCGAAGTTTTTCGCGTGTAGAGCCATCCCACAGCCCCAGCAAGCTGGTATTTCAGCGGTCGCATGGGACAGTCGCGGCTTTCATGTCTTTGGTGTCTCTTTTTTGTTTGTCGGCTGCCCCTACAGCCAGCTTTGAATGCTCGACTCTATTCACTCAAAGTCTAGATGCAAGGAGAAAGATCGACAAGGAGTTTGGATACCACTACGTGCGGTCCTGCATGTCCACAAGTTCACAGACGTGCCCCGCCCAACAGTTGCATTGCCGGCCGGGAGAACCAAGCCGGTGAAGCAGATCTCGCTGTCACTGTCAGAAGATCAGTCTGAGAGCATGGCCAACACCGAAATCGCAGGTGCACTTTCCCCAGCGACAGGTCCCGCGGCCACACCTGCAAAAACAGCACATCTCAGATAAATTGCACCACACGTACAGAAATCCCCCTGAAACAGACTTTGCTCTCTTCGCACGAGCTCCCCACGACATCGTTTCACAGAGGGTGTCATTCCTCAGAGAAGTGCACCACAGCCAGATCTTGCAGGTGAGCTCTGGAACTGGTCCCCGAGGGAAGGCATTGGCCGCTGGTACTGTAAGCAAAGTAATTGCGAAATCCCAACCCACCCGAGACCACGATTCGCAGCTTTGAAAATGCAGTTTGGGGCGGCAACATCGGCTGGACACTGCAAAATTTGCCGGAGGGCCTGCAGGTGCCGTCCAGCGATCCGGCGGAACGGAAGCAGATGGAGTTCCCAATCTCGGACGCACGGGGTCTTCTGAGCTACCTCTACCGCCCTGTCTTTGGGAAGCGCAGAATTCTCGAGTCATCCGAGGTCCCTGCATAGGTGGGTTCTCCACTTTCCCCCTTGGCATGGCTGATGGTCTTGCACTGCTCATCCTGCAAAGCTTCGAGTGCAGCTTCAAGTCTCGAGTCAGTGCATACAGCTTCGATCCAACATTTGGCAGACAAGCTCCGCGGGCCCCGGTGGTGTACAGAGCAGGAATTACAAGTTGAAAAAAGCTGTCACTCTGCGTGCATGCATGAGGCCACCTCCCGGCAGTAGCCAGGCCACTTCTTCATGCACTGGCCTTTCACCTTCCCGCCAAACTGTCTGAGCTGTCTGAGCCTGCACACAACTCCAAGGCTGCTTGGTAGCCTCCCATCCTTTCGCATTGTGCGTGTCAATCTCGGTGCCGGCTTTGCCTCAGAAATGTGATCCAGAAACCGCCGCTCTCGGACTGCAGTTCTGCTTCTGCTTTGTCTTGCGGCAGGCTCAGGAGTTGGCAGAACAATGGGCAGTATGCCTCATCCGCATCCTGTCACAAGCAGTAGACAGTCTACTCACAAGTCTTCCTGTAGCGGATGCTCCGGCGCGGCCTCAGAGCAGCAATCCTCCTCTGACCTCAGGGTCGACTGGCGTACACCGCCGAAACACACAGCCCATCCCGAGACTTGATTCACTGGCCGAGCTCCTCACCAGCAAACGCCTCCCTCTCCCGACACGACCTTTTTCGGAATGGCGGAGGCAGCATGCGCCTGCCACCACTCCGATGTCAGCAAGGTCAAGAGACTTCACGAGGCATGCCACTGACTCGCGCCATTTCCAAGCCGTCGGCCTTATCCGTCCCCAAAATTAGCACTCGTTCTGAAAGGTTGGTCGCGGCCTCCATATGGATCATCTCGTGCTGGACCTGCTGCCAACAAAGCTTTGGCTCGAGGCTCCCAATCGAAGACCTCACCTTGGTCTGCAGCAGCTGGAAGTCCATCGCCGCCAGCTCGTCCGCTTCCGCGAGCTCCACATCGGCCTGAACTTCACATCTTCCTGTTCAGGATTTGGGAAGGTGCGTTCTTGGCCTCGGAAGTCGCCCGACATTCGCCGGAGGGGCAGATGGCACCTCGGCCAGGGCTCGTGACGCGTGCACTCTTCCAAGATCTAGCACTGGTTGTCTTATCGCTTCTTCTCTTGAGCTGTATTCGGAGGAAAACTTGCAAAATCCGAGGGGCCCTTGCTGGCCTGCTAAAAGGACCTACGCAGGATGGATTTTCTGCGAGGTCTTTGGGTGCAGGCCTGGACACTCTGCGCTTGTGACAACGGACCCCACCATGACCAAGACTGCCGCAAGATCTGCGGCATGGCCATGTCAATGTGTCATGTCGCACGAGCGAGTCGCGTCTGTGTTCGGCTTTGAAGGAAACCTGATTCTCAGCAAGTTTTAGGGAACAGGTGACGGAGTCCGAGAGGTCCGTGATGGCCTGCTAAAAGAACCTACGCAGGATGGATTTTCTGCGA